GTATGTATGCCTATGTAGTGTGCATATAGTGCCCACAGAGGCCAGAAGAAGAGGTCAGATTCCCTGGGACTACAGTTACAGATGGTTGTAAACCACTGTGTGGGTTCTGGGAATTGAACCCGGATCATCTGGAAGAGCAGCTGTTGCTCTTAACCACTGAGCCATCTCTCCAGAAAGATCAGAGAATTCTTGACCAAGGGACAGAGATTGAAAGGGTGAAGGACAGATAGCCATAGGCCCTGCTAGGAAAGGTGGAAGGGGATGGACTTTTCCCGAGAATGTTTATATGCCAGGGTATCTTCCCAGAAGCCATCCTTTCCGGTGTCTAGCACCCCCTGGTTTTGCTCACCACCCTGTAGGCAGCCCCACTTCACGCCAGAGTCCGTTCTCCGTCTCCCAGCTCTGCCATCAAATAAGGGGGATGTGCAAGAAGGACAGAGACACATCTGTCCCAGATCAGGGTGTGTCCCCAAGGGACAGCATGCCTGGGCCACACAATCCCCAGTTCTGGTAATCTGAGGGACTGACACAAACAATCACCTGACCAGACAACAGATCTAAGCCAACCACTGAGTCACAGATACCCTGGCCTGACAGGCCAACACTCACCGTCTGAGCCCAGAGCAGGTAGCAACCACCTATAAAATCACACTGCTCATACCAGGCCTCCAGGTGTCCAGCTGGAGCCCTATCTACTTCTCCCCTGCTCTCTAAGTTGCTGGGGGTCATTTATTTCCCATGGGTTGAGTCTGCCATGGGCCTACAGGGCAGCTCCTAAGTTACGGCCACAATGAGCTGAGCACTGGGACAACACTACTTGGAGCATTTTATGTCACTTCCTGTCCTTGGAGCTGGGGCAGAGGCTTGGAATGTGAAGGAAGTCGAAGGGACAGGGAAAGAGGTGTCCTCTATCGTGGCTCAACCACCCTAGCCAGCAAGACACGTGTGGAAGTCACTGCCCCTGTGAATGGCAGTCATGTGGCCCCAGCACCCCCTGGAGGAAGTCTGGGGCAAGACAAGTACCTTGAACCTTTTCTCAGCCCCACCCTGACCCGTCTCAGTTACATACTCACTTCCGTCTCTGGCCGTGGAATAAACACTGGGGGTACCATCTTCAGACTGAGCCCCTGAAAGTCCCACTCCCCAAGGATATACTGCACCGGCATCCTGCAAGAGGAGCATCCAGGGGGTCATCAGTACCAGAACCAGGATTAATAAGGCCAGAGCTGAGGTGAGACCTACTGTAGCCAAGGCTATCAGGCAGGGTCCTGTCTGCAATGCCCTAGGATACGCAGTCTAGGCCTACCCTCTTTCCCTTCCGTAAACTGACTACAGTAGTCCCTCTCTTGCCATTTCCTCACCCCAACAGCTCCCTAGTCCTCAGACACTGTACTCCTCCACGATCATAATTTGGTGGGAGTAGGGAAGGATGAGTCTCTGTTCCTGACTCAGGGTCCTCAGATCTGTCCATGGCTGCTTACCTCTGTAATCGATGGCTACACAGTTCCTGGATGCACTGCAGTTGTTTAGGGGTCAGTGGCTTGGTCCAAAGTTCTGGTTTCAGGCTCTGAAACTGTCCCCAAGGAGAATGTGAGTGGCTGGTTCCCTTGGTCTAGAGACATACACCCAGGTCTCTTGTGTGGACAACAGACTCAACACTTTGTAGACTCAACACTAGCCACTTAATCATCCCGGAACCTGTAGTGCCTGGAACACACTGTAATAGTTTGTTGGATGAATGAATAAGTATCTACCTGAAACATTTGTTCAGCAAAATCCCACCAGTTTTATCTAAGTACACCGATTGAGCCAAAATAAGTAAAACAAAAAAAAACAAAAATCCTCAATATCTGTTCCCTGGAGTTCTCCCTCCTCCCTCTTCCTATCCTCCCTAACATGGCACTTAACTGTTTTGGCTCCAAGGACATGAGCCACGATGTACTCACTGGATTCCCGGGCCTCTGGGATACCTCTTTCCTCAAAGACCTGTGTCCACTGGCTGACCACCCCTGTGGCACTCAACAGTCCAGTCAGAGATGAACGAAGCTTCCATGAGTTGAAGGACCAACCCTGGGAGGCTCCCGTCCTTCCCCTGGGACCAGATAGAAGGGTCCAAAGTATTCGCCCCCAAAGCTTCATGTCTTAGAGAAGTGTTTGCGAGTTCCTAAGTCTCCCTTGTGATACCAGTCACAGGGAGAGGTGCTGGGAGTGATCCCTAGGCTGGGCCAGTGTGGAAGGATCAGCCATGGGCTCTGGTTCTCCAGTCTTCTGTTTCTCAGATGTTGTTGTCACCCTAAAGGAGAATATGGAAAGACTCAAAAGCTGCCTGAAACGAATGTGTATTTAGTCTGCCACCTCCTGGACTATATGCACATCCTCAACCACCTATTTGATTTCTTCTTGTCTTGGCCAGTAATTTTTTTTTTTTCCAGCTTAAGTAGGTTGAATTGGTAGAGTTTGGTCCCTGCTAATAGTCAAGGTGTGGGCTTGGGAGTAGGGCGTATGTCAGACATGTGTGTGAGCTCAGTCAAATCATTGTTTCTGACTTCAGTTTGATCATAATGTGGGAAAAATAACATCAGCTCTTTGGTGACTGGTGTCTTGACCAATGGATGTCAAGGGTCTGGAAGACAGTACACCACACACCAATAACTCACTAATGGACGGCTGGAGACTGCCCTGCTTGGGAGCTTTGCTTCTGACATTCTGTATGCACCATCATTGTTTGGAAGCTGAATTTTTCCTTTTAATTTAACCCATAACCCCAGACATCAGCATAAATTGAAGGCTGAAAAATTTAGTGTTACACTTCACGCAAATAAGTTATCTGAAAACTTAAAATCGGTGGTCCCCTCTACTTCCAAGCAAATTAAGTAAGGTCCAAACTAACTGCTGAGCACTTGCTAACTGCCACGGTCCCAAAGACCGGGCTGAAGAAGGAAGCAACTTGTACCCAGTTCCGGAAGGAAGCAAAGCTTGAAGTCTCGACACAACCTCCGTCCCAAATCCTCAAGGACGTTGTCAACGACTCAGGTAAGCACGCCCTCTCTCCAAGCCTGTTTCCCCCGACTGCGAGGGATAAGACTGGCCTGGCCTCAAAAGGCAACGTTGTGGTCACACATTCCCACCCCGGTCTCCTCCTCTGGTGCATACCTGATGGAGGAAATGCACGAGTACCCTACCTACACACCGGCACCGGGAGACAGCCCCAGGGTCGGCCCCCGGATGTGCGTAGCCTGCAGTACACTCCCTTAACGCCTTGTTTCCGCTCCAGTGCAGTTGAGAAAGTGCTCCGGTGCACCACGTCTCCCTGGTCTAGGGTTCCTACAGCCACCGGGTTCCCCCTTTGAAGATGCGGGAGGGCGGGGAGGCTGAACTGACCCGCCCCCACCCGCAGCCCCACTAGTGGGAAAGTGCGGGGACGTGTGAGGTGCTCTGTAGGGTCCCAAACCCATTAGTCTTCCTTAAGGTCGCAGCAGAGATGTGGCTCCAGCCTGCAGTGATTGCTTGAAGCACACGTTTACATATCCAGTTGGAGCGGTGTATGGGCGGAAACAAACCCGGCGGGTGTCAGTCTGTGCTGGGTTTGAGAGCCGGGCTAGAGAGGGGAGGAAGGGTGCTGGTCTAACAGCTTGCAAGCTGGGTCTAGCAGCGTGTGGTTGGGTTCCAGTGTTTGGGGGCAGTCTCTGTTTTCGGGAAGGGACTAGGTATCTAAAGACCCTCACGACCTCACATGCACATAAAATTTGGACCAGATAGAAAAGCAAATGCTGGAAAACTAGATTCGAATCCTGATTTTGTTGGCAATTCGTTGCTTAACTTTGTTTAAGTGTTCAGACCTTTCTAGGCTTTAGTTGCGCCTTTTATAAAATTCATAGCAGTTGCAGGACCTGGTTATACAGGGATGTAATCACAGCTACTAGAGAAGCTGAAGCAGGAGGATCCTAAGTTCAAGACCAGCCTGGGTAATTTAGTAAAAACCTGCCTCAAAATTTAAAAGGGGGGAAGGGACCTTGAAGAGATGGATCAGCGGTTAGGAGCACATATTGCTCTTGCAGAGGACCGGACTTCAGTTCCAAGCACCTCGGTGGACACCTGCATTCACATGCACATACCTACCCAAACACCCATACACATAATTTTAATAAAATAAGATAAAAATAAAAAATAGTTCATTTGGGTAGCTCAGTTGTTGACATGCTCACCTACCTAACATGCACAATACTCGGTTTGATAAATGGGTTATGGTGATACACACTTATAAATCCCAGCTCCCAGGAGGTGGAGACACAGAGAGCAGAAACTCATCTTTCAAGGTCAGCCTGGGCTACATGAAACTATGTTTCAAAAAGTAAAAAATAAAAAAATTGGAATGAGAGGGCAGGAGTTGTGTTGTGGAATAGAATATTTATTTAACTAAGATGTGTTACATTTGTTTGTGCTACAGAATAATTAACTATGTAAAAATGTGTTGCATTTGTTTAACTATGTAAAG